TGTCATTAATTTCTTCTTCTTCTTCTTCTTCTTTGGTGACCTAAACTAATTAAAGAAGATTGCATGAGAAGATCACATCATCTCCTCGGTCGACCACTTTTAATTAAACTATAGATGCAATGTAGCCGTAATTAATTATTTGTTAATCTCGTTTATGCAAGCTCCTGTCCAGCAGAGATTAATTATAAGTAGGTAGGTACGTGCTGGAAACAAAGGATAAGACAGTTGCATCTTTAAAACACGTCTTCAATGATCGCTATATCATTTTCTCCATCACATCACGTCTTAATTATTAAAATAAAAATAGATTTCGTTTATTTTAATACATAGAAGCTGTAAATTAATTACCCCATAAATCTTACTCCTTCATTCACTTGATTTAAAGGACTGATTAAGACTCAATTAATATAATAGATCATATAATTATATATTAACTCTAAATTCTTTTATCCATGTAGAATAATTTAATTAGGAGAACCTTTTTCTTCAATGGTAACAAGCAAAGCAATTGGTTACTGTTCCTCAACTTTCTTTCCTTTCAGGACTTACAGTAAGTATTACACCAGGGTGCTCACACTGTTCCATCTCATTCCAGTAAGCAAGAATTATTCAACCATCTAATAGGCCGGACCTTGATAAGAATTTAGATTAAAAAATTTGTTTTTTTATGATTTCAAGTTTGAATCATGTAATTACTAGTATGATAATAATTATAAATTTATATAATTATTAATTTTAAAATTTATGAGATTAGTCAAAATACATGTAAGTTGATTCAAATATGCAAGTTAATAAAAAAAGAGAAAAGAATCATTCACTTTTTAAAAGCTTGGATCAGGCAAAGAATTGATGCATTGATTTATTAAGCTATTTTTTTTAATTAAATATTTAAATATTTTAATTATTGGGTCCGTAATTTAAAGTGTTGTCTTGGAGTATTTACATGTAATAGGAGGCTATGTACGGAGAAACAATTCCTATAAACTCAGTTTTTTATGAGAGATTTCATCTTAATATATTTGACAACCTGACTTGAGAATATCTAATGCTAAAATAAAAAATAAAAAATAAAATATTTAATAATAAAGATTGATTATTTTCCCTAGTTCACTTCCGTTAATCAAAACACACACACGGGGAGACACAGAGAGAGAGTTAAATGGAAGAAAAAATATATCAAATATAGGTATTTCTAATTTTGCGAAGGAATGATTACAAGTTGGAAACACATCAAAATTTTTATATAAAAAGAAAATATAAATTAGCATATAGTTAAATTGTAAATTAATGAAACTATGAAGGGATTGATTTTGTGATGTTTAATTATGGATAATAACAATAATTTTTATTTTATTTTATTTTATTTTATTGGTCAAGAAATCAATAAAGTGATGGTTACTTGTTGGTATCTTGTTTGAGAAATAAAAACCTTTAGATGCAGCCGGTGGCTTTCTCACCTCTAGGCGCAGCCCTTTAGTCTCCCTTATTCTCCTTTTTATTTCCTTTTTTTTCCCCTGACAAATCATATCTAATTCTTAAATATAGATTTGATTTGAGATTAAAATCCTTTAGGATATTTAGAACTTGCAATAAAGCTTTATTCTCTTTGTTTGTGTATGATGAGTTGTCTCTAGCTTGTTGGTTGAAATATATTAATACTATTTGACAAATTTCATTCTAGTAGTTACACTTATTTTATCATTGGTTCATGGTGGTGCTGAGCTAGACTATGAACCAGATATGCCAAAAAAAGAGTTTTATATTGGGCAATCCTCATAAATAAATTTTAGTAAATTTTTATAAATTTTTTTAGATTAATATAGATGTTAGGATAAATTTACACATATCTCAAATAATTTCATGAGATATCAAGTTAATTTGCATGTATCTTAAATAATTTTATGAGTTCTAAAATTAATGACTATGTAATTTTTTAATAATTTTAAAAAAATTTAAATTTATAATTATTGAAAAGCAAATTCATAATAAGACGATTTAAATAACCCTTCATGGTTAAACTTTTGTAACTTTCATTACAAAGTGATTAATTGCTGCATGGAATTAGTGCCATTATTCATTATTAGACAGGAAAATGAGTTTTCACCTACTATTATTAAAGAAACTAAGAATTTATTGGCCGGTCTATTCAAAGATGAAGGGTAAATTGTTGGTTATATATATATATAACAATCATGCAGTAGTATTTAATTGAAGATACGCTGCAATGCTTGCAAGTCAAATGAGAAAAAAAAAAAGGATAAGAAGAAGAAAAGGAAGTATATATATATATATTAAAATTACTATAATAAAACATATACTTACGTTCATTTATAAAATAAAATATATTTGTTAAAATATTTTTAATATGTTACTCCCTCAATTCACAGATCTTGATCTTTTTTTTTTTTAATTTACGTGGGGTGTCCGGGTCAGCTTACGCGCACCACGACTAATCCTCACGGCCCACTGAACATCCTGCAAGTCCAGGGAGCAGGTAAAGCACCGCGAGGGTGACAAGCGTGCATGGTGAGGTTCGAACCCAGGTGCGAAGAAAGGAGACAAACCCCTCCTACCGATAGGCCAGAACCTCACTTACACATATCTTGATCTTATTTGACTTTTCACATGTCATACAATTCGTTTCAAGCTAATTTACACTACTAACCTTCATCTGAATATAAGTAGGTGAGAGAGATTGGATTGAAATAATATAACGTAAAATATAATTTAACGCATAACAATAAAAACACTCATGGATTATCTCTCAAAATCAAAAAGTGGACAGTATCTTTAGGATATATAAAATATAGTTTTTATTGGTCATTTCATATCTCAAAAACACATCTATTATATTTAATCAAACAATATTTAAAACTTTATTTTATTTATTTTTTAATCTTCAAGTTTGAGATATGAAAAAGAAAATTATTAGGTAACAGTGAGAGCGAGAGAGTTATAAATCGACCACCTTCTGATGATTAAAAAAATAAAATAAATCTTAATATCAAAGAATTTTATTTAGTAAGAAAAGTTATATTAAAATGTATTTTTACATTGATATTAGTGGAAAAAGGTATACCAAAGATGAGAAACAATTGTTTTCAATTTAATTTAGTTATTCTTGACTTATTTACGAGCTATTTGGGCTGATAAATTGATCTATATTCACAGTATGAGAGCATTTATAATATGTTTTTAAGTAAAAAAATGTTAAAAAATGATTAATAGGGTAAAAACAACATTAACCTAATTTTTCATCACCTCTCTAGTGGCATGAATTTTGATAAACAAATGATGCATTATTTGTTCTTTTTTTTTCGTTTAAAAAATACAAGGATCACCCATGTAAAATAAATTATATATAAAAAAAAAGCCGAGCACATGTACTTGTAGCCCAAGCTCACGGGACTTTATTTTTGTTGGGTCAATTATGCCAGTCATATTTCTTTGATCTATATATGCCTGATTCTTTTTAATGTTTTTTATTTATATATATAAAAAAAAGATTTTGATTTAAATACACCATGAAAAAAATTAGATAACTAGTAAATGGTTTCTAACTTTTGTTTTCCTTGTTTTAAGCACTCATTGAGCTTCTTCCATAAGATGTCCATCTTGGCCTTTACAATTTTAGATTTGGATTCTTTTCCCCTCAAACTTAAACTCTCTGGACTATTGGTCTAAGTGTCACTTAACTCTTAATCTAACAAATTAGTGTCACTAATTCCGAAGCAAGTTGTCTAATTGATTTAGTTCACCTCTTAGTTTGTACACTACACGTATAAGTCACCAAATCTATTCTAATTTTGCTTGATTGATTCTTTGTATTATTTTCAGTAATTGGATGGAGTTCTACCTTGATATAATAGGGGACTAAATCAAATTAATCAACTAGTTCAAGGACTAATGTGAACAAAATTTAATTTGTCAAATCTCCAAATAGGATTGCTTTCAAAAGAAAACGAGGGCGAGGCATCCCTCCATTGATTATCACTGAAGAGAAGAGGGTGAGGGCAGAATTCCAAAACAAAATTGCAAGTCAAAGCAGTCCTTCGATTGAGCTGCAATGTGCAACAGAGTCCTTGCTTTGAAAGAAGCGAGGATGAGCAGGAGAGTTGAATAGATGACGTAAGATAAACAACAGAGTCCTGAAGTTGTTTTTAAATGTACTTTTTATTTAAAAATATATTAAAATAATATTTTTTATTTTTAAAATTTTATTTTTAAAATTAAGACATAAAAAAATAATATATTAAATGCTGGAACAAATTGGGATTGGGGAATCTTTACGTGAGTAATACTATATGTCTTTAATGTCAAATTATTTATAGATCGGACCTGGATTCTGATGCTTCTTTCACGGAATAAGATATTAGGAAATTAAATTATGTGAAATTATTTATAAATCAGATCTTAGCAAAACCTAAGTGAAAATAGTGCTTAAAACGGAAATTAATTTAAGCCCTCGAAATCCCTAATAACAATAAACATACAAGGGAATTTACTTGCTTGAAGTAGAAACTAAGATATTAGGAAATATTATCTTAAAAAAACTAATTAATCCTCTGTAAATTAACACTTTTTCCTGATTTAAAAAAAAAGAATAATTTTACAAAAACCTTTTATAGATCTAAGTTAAAATAGAAAAAACTATTACTAGATCACGCAAACTAAGTTCATGTCACGAGGGTGAGGATAGTGTGGTCTAACACTTCATTTAAGTTTGTAAATTAGTGCCTGTAATTCTGTAAAAACAAATTATATAATCATTTTATATTCAAATATTTATTTTTAATTTTTAAAAAGGTGTCCAATTTGCTCACCAATCTTCCCATAATGTTTATTTGTTTTTTAGTTTATTTTTTAAAACAAAGAAAAACTAAAAGATAAGGATTTTTAATATATCTTGCAAAACTAGAGTATTAATTTATAATTTAATCAATTAATAACAAAAAAAAAGGCTATAAAAGGCAGTTGCTCAACCGAACCTCCTCATTCACTCTCTTGTCTTGTAATAATAACAAACACAACACTTGTATCCCTTCCACTCCTCTTTCTTCACATTAAACTCCGCCAACTTCCCTCTCTTTTGTTCTCTTTCAGAACAAGAAATTAATATTTCTTACGCGTTCGTAATCTCTTTCTTCGTAATGTATGTAGAAAGCAATTAAAGCTCTCTCTCTATAAATACTCAATATACAGACGCACACAGACAAGGAGGGAAAGGGAAAAAGTAGATACATACAAAGAGCAAAAGTCTATTGCTTAGGGTGCGTGGCATAGCTAGAAACAGAATTATGTGTAACGTGTTCTTGTTGCTGCTGCTGCTGCAACTTTTATTCTTCTTCTCTTCACGGATTTCTACTGTTACAGCCTCTGTGTCCTATGATCATAAAGCTGTTATAATCAATGGGCAGAGAAGGATTCTTATTTCTGGCTCAATACACTACCCAAGAAGCACTCCTGAGGTACCGTTGATTCCAATGTGGCTCATTCATGGGTTCTTCTTCCTTTTATTTCTTCCTGATTTTACTTCCCATGTTTTTGAGTAATGTTTTTTTTTTTAATTCTTATGTGGGTTTTTGATTTTGTGGTGGCTGCAGATGTGGCCTGATCTTATTCAAAAGGCCAAAGATGGAGGAGTGGATGTGATTCAAACTTATGTCTTCTGGAATGGACATGAACCCTCTCCTGGAAACGTAATGCAAATTCCTTTCTATTCTGGCTTTTGCGTTTGCTGTGCCTTCTTCCTCTTCTTCTTGTTTTGTTTTCATTTCAAGTTTCTAACTCGATTGATCTTCACTCTTTGGGGGAAAAAAAATCAGTATTATTTTGAGGACAGGTATGATTTGGTTAAGTTCATCAAGCTGGTTCAACAAGCAGGCCTTTATCTTCATCTGCGGATTGGCCCCTATATTTGTGCTGAATGGAACTTTGGGTAATTACTCATAATTTATCTATCTATTTTTAATTAGCTTTGACTAACGTAGAAATCCGTGTCCTTGATTTCTACAATATCTTGTTTTCAAAGAAAGCGAAGAAAAAAAAATCACATGCTCTGTTTCTGGTTCAGGGGATTTCCTGTGTGGCTAAAATATGTTCCTGGTATTGAATTTAGAACCGACAACGGGCCTTTCAAGGTTATTATTACTCGGAATCTTTGATTTCGATTTTGAGAGCCCTTTTCTTTGAATTCATCACTCAAATTGATCTGATGTGATTTAAAATCTGTTCCCTTCTTTTTATATAACTTCAATGAAGGCGGCAATGCAAAAGTTCACAGAGAAGATTGTTGGCATGATGAAGTCAGAAAAGTTGTTCGAAAATCAAGGAGGCCCAATAATTCTTTCCCAGGTAGGAAATTCACCTCTTGAATCTCATTCTAGAAAAATGGGTTATATTTGTTTTATTGCATTTAATCCTATTTGTTTTCAATTGGTCCATTGCTCAACACAAGTCCCTAAAAAACAATTGTCATGAAGCTTTTTTTATTGGACAAAGAGCAATAACCCTGTTCATGTCCTTATCATCATTCTAGAAACGTGCTTTAAATATTTTGTTGATTTTGGCATGTTTAAACACTTTTTTCTTTTCTTTTCGTTGAACAATAACAGATAGAAAATGAATATGGACCAGTGGAATGGGAAATTGGTGCACCTGGTAAAGCCTATACAAAATGGGCAGCTGACATGGCAGTGAAGCTTGGTACAGGAGTCCCATGGATTATGTGCAAGCAAGAAGATGCCCCAGATCCCATGGTAATAATCCATTCTACCATTTTATTTTATTTTCGCACGCCTTTTATTCGCTTTCATGGGGTCGATTTCTTGGTGCTTGTTGTGTACCTTGAATAGTATATATTTATTTATTTATTCTCTTATCCACTTTTGCCTTGCTTTCCCTGTTCAATTTAATTCTTTTGGGGCCTACCAGTCCCTCTCTTTTTGTTCTTATGTCTACTTATCAACAAACAAAAGTTTTTGTTTTTGGTGTTATAATAATATATAGGATGAGCATGTTCTATTTGTTGCTCGATGGTAGATCTTGTTTTAAGCTCCATGGTGAAGATTCTGCTAAAAGTATTCACTGAAACTTTTTCGTAAAGAATAAATATGTCAGGATGGCATTCATTTGGATTGCATAGGCCAATCATGCTGCTTGTTATCATTTATTCAAGCACCTATCTTTGTTTTATACGGTTTGCAGATAGACACCTGCAATGGATTCTACTGTGAAAACTTCAAACCAAACAAGGACTATAAACCCAAAATATGGACAGAAGCCTGGACTGGCTGGTAAGTCACACACGGATGATGAGTATCCGCAGGGGAAAAAAAAGATAAAAAAGTTGGTTATAGGTATTTTATTTTTTATATTTGGTACTGAAACGTGACTGATGATCCCTGAATATTTTTTCCTTGCTTCATCTTGCCCTCAGGTATACTGAATTTGGTGGTGCTGTTCCTCATAGGCCAGCAGAAGACATGGCATTTTCAGTCGCAAGGTTCATACAAAATGGTGGTTCATATATTAACTACTATATGGTAAGCAACCTTCCAAATTTAATTTGCCCATAAGATGGATAACGATCACTCATTTCTCGGGGGCTTTCCTTTTTTCTGTCTTTCATGTCTTCAGTACCATGGAGGAACTAACTTCGGAAGAACCGCTGGCGGTCCCTTCATTGCCACTAGCTACGATTATGATGCCCCTCTTGATGAATTCGGTATGTACCCTAAAGTGGATCGTGATGAAGAACACATTGCATTATATGTATTTATAAATTAACGTTATAGGACGCACTTAAATATGCAAAAAAGATACATTTCCAAAGCCACTGTGATCCATGGAGGATGCCTATCTTTTGAACCAGGATTACCAAGGGAACCAAAGTGGGGGCATTTGAGAGATTTGCACAAAGCCATCAAGCTATGTGAACCTGCTTTAGTTTCTGTTGATCCCACTGTAACATCACTTGGGAGTAATCAAGAGGTATGGTTCAAGTTTTGTGGTTATGTACATTATGTACCTGCAATCTTCTGGTCTGGCTTGCTCATCATCACTGTCATTGTTTACAGGTTCATGTATTCAAGTCAAAGTCGGTATGTGCTGCATTTCTTGCCAACTATGATACAAAATACTCTGTGAAGGTGACCTTTGGTAATGGACAATATGAATTGCCGCCTTGGTCCATCAGCATTCTCCCTGATTGCAAGACTGTGGTTTATAACACAGCAAGGGTAAGGAATAGTCTGCTGCTCACAACATGAATCTTAGTTTATTCACCTTTTTGTGGTTCTCCATGTCAGTTTCCCCTGATCACTTAGTAATTGACAAGAAAGGTTTGACCTTAGTCGTCTTTAAGGATCTCTCATAGGAGTTCTGGTAGATAATAAACAAGCTCAGGGTTAGCCCCGCCAAATACTGGAAAAATCTGCAACAGTGACTTTGATGTCTGATGGTAATTTTTGTGCAGCTCGGTTCCCAAAGCTCACAAATGAAAATGGTTCCAGCGAGTAGCTCATTTTCCTGGCAATCATACAATGAAGAAACTGCATCAGCTGATGATGATGATACAACTACAATGAATGGGTTGTGGGAGCAAATAAATGTGACAAGGGATGCCACAGACTACTTGTGGTACCTGACAGAGTGAGTACAAGTCCTAGTTTTCAGGACAAGCTGATTCTCGGGGGCAAGTTTTCGGGTTGTTGCTGCATGTTTTCTTGCTTACAGCTTACCATTCTTGAACATTTCTTGATTATTCAGTGTCAAAATAGACGCCGATGAAGGATTTCTGAAGAGTGGACAGAATCCTCTTCTCACAATTTTCTCCGCTGGCCATGCTTTGCATGTATTTATCAATGGTCAACTAGCAGGTGGGTGGAATAGAATATCATTGCTCAGGTGGTCAACTAATGGACTTCATTTTTCACCTCCATCTTGTATTAAAGTTTCAGTTTAATCTTGTGGCAGGAACCGCGTATGGGGGATTATCAAATCCTAAGTTGACGTTTAGCCAGAACATCAAATTGACAGAAGGGATTAACAAGATCTCTTTGTTGAGTGTTGCTGTTGGTCTCCCGGTTAGTTCTCCCGCTTCTTTTGTTGTCTTTGTTCTCCGTGACATGAATTTGGCAGATAATTAGTCATTTGAACTCAATAAATTGTCATCTTGATTGATCTCAGAACGTTGGCCTGCATTTTGAGACATGGAATGCCGGGGTTCTAGGTCCAGTCACCCTGAAGGGTCTGAATGAGGGGACGAGAGACCTGTCAGGGCAGAAATGGTCATACAAGGTTTGTTTTGTTTTCTGATTATTTTTTTTCTCTGCTAAAACATTTCTGACCACGTTGAAAAATCATAGAGCTGGTATATGGCTGTACTGCAAAATTAAACAGTCAGAAGAGGCTAGAGAATCAATTAAATCATCTGCCATGTTTCTGAGCAGATTGGTCTGAAAGGTGAATCACTGGGCCTTCATACTGCTAGCGGGAGTGAATCTGTTGAATGGGTGGAGGGATCACTATTGGCTCAAAAACAAGCACTGACCTGGTACAAGGTAAGAGCTAGTTTCACGAGGACTTCTGCATTTCCGCGTTCTTTTATTTTGACCAGAGGTTACCAAGTTTTACTAAGAAATCCACCGTGTTTCGATAAATCCAGACAGCTTTTGATGCACCACCAGGCAATGATCCCCTGGCTTTAGATATGAGTAGCATGGGGAAAGGTCAGATGTGGATAAATGGACAAAATATAGGACGGCACTGGCCAGGATATATAGCTCATGGCAGTTGTGGTGACTGCAATTATGCTGGAACTTTTGATGACAAAAAATGCCGGACTAATTGTGGGGAGCCCTCACAGAGATGGTAAGGAAGCCTTGGGACTGTCTAGCTTGCTTTGCTTGTCGAATTTATGTAGCCTTGACGATGCTATTAATCTCAGGTACCATGTTCCTCGCTCATGGCTTAAGCCGAGTGGGAATCTCTTAGCTGTGTTTGAAGAATGGGGTGGTGATCCAACTGGAATTTCTTTTGTCAAAAGAACTACTGCAAGTGTCTGTGCTGATATCTTTGAAGGGCAGCCGGCGTTGAAGAACTGGCAGGCGATAGCCTCAGGCAAAGTCATCAGCCCGCAACCCAAAGCCCACTTGTGGTGCCCTCCGGGACAGAAGATATCTCAGATAAAGTTTGCTAGCTTCGGAATGCCTCAGGGCACATGTGGAAGCTTTCGGGAGGGGAGCTGCCATGCCCACAAGTCATACGATGCCTTTGAAAGAGTACTTTAACCTATGAGACCTATTTTTAAGCTACATGACAACTCTTGACAGTAGTAAAAGAATTGCTGCTAAGGCCACTCTGAATAGAACACAAATTTAACACTCGGTCTGACTTGAAAATGTTGCATATGCATATTAGCAGCTTCTTTTTAGAGTGCGAAGACATAATAGGATTTATAATTTTATGCAATTCCCCGCCTCCGACACTCTGGGTCTTTAAAAATCTAGGAGGAATATATTGGGAGAGGATTTTTTTAGTAATATCATCATTGAAGAAGTGATACTATAATAGGTTTATTTTGGTTCAATCATTCTTCCTTTTCAATTCATCTTTCGGCTGAAAAATCTTGCTATGCCTTAGGACGTGAACTGGTTTGCCCATGATGCTGATTTATCAATAATATGAGATTCAGCTTTAGTTCGCTCAAATTCTAGCTGGTTTTTCATTAACTTTATGTGACTGACATGAGAATCCTTCTGCAGAATTGTGTTGGAAAGCAGTCATGCTCAGTGACTGTAGCTCCTGAAGTTTTCGGAGGAGATCCATGTCCAGATAGTGCAAAGAAGCTATCAGTTGAGGCTGTCTGCAGCTGAAGTCCTGAAATTCCAAAAGCTCTACGCAAAGAATTGAAATCCCAGATTACTCCATTTCAGTACATAGACATTACATTACATCCTTTTAAGATTTTCAGGCATGTAGATTACAGATTTCCAAGGTCCATGGAACCGGAGAAATCATAAAAAAAAAAAAAAATACAGAATTTGGCAAAGCCAGATGAAGATTGTGAAGCGGTTGAAAGATGCTTTAGGTACATAGGCAAGCTATTATCTGTCATACATCATAAACAGGCTACATATAGTCTGGAAGCTTTTAGTCTTGCAAATTCATACAGGCAAGTCTTTAGCGTGCAGCGGTTGAGTATTTGTAAGTTTGTACCTTGCAAAATAAAATGCAAAGGAATATAACTAATAGCATTCCAATGGAATTTGAATTGTGAATTTTCTATATTAAAGCTTCATACTCTCTTTCTTATCGAGCCTCAAAAATACCCCTCCAAACTATTAGCTTAGTATCAATTTTGCCCCTAAACAAATTTTTGTATGATTTTTTCCCTTAAAACAAAATTTGATTTCTCAATTAGGATATTCTATTAGAATACCTTAGACATGGATAGAAGGACTTGATTAAAAATTTCTAAGAATTACAGAACAGATATCGCATCCCCACATGAATCCCATAATACACAGGCAACTGGCACATCAAGATGTGTTTTCTCCTTCTATCCTGCAATAGGACTCCCACCAAATATTCCAGTGTTATGATTTTTTGGTAATCGAGAGTCAATTTCGTCTATCAAACTATTAAAAATGAAAATGAAGCTACCAAAAACTTAAACAACCAGAAAACAAAAGCTTCACACAGAAGGTAAAGAATAAAGCAAGAAAAAAAAAATAATCAAAGGGGATTGATAGCTGACCGCATAAATCTTCATCTTGACATCCGGGCAAATTGAGTGGAAACTACTGCGGAATTTCATACAAGCCTGCCGGTGCAATCGTTGTTGCTTTCACCCAACATGAGAGGACCAACTCCCAAGCTATTCTTTAAAAAACACAAGAAAAACCCTGTTTACAGAGGAGCCTTAGACTTATTCCATCACAACTCTTGATGTGATCCATCAAGTGGTTTTTCAATATTATAGAAGTTCTCAGCCCTGATTACCTGGACTCCCCTGGATTTATGAAGTTGACAGTTCTGGTTTTTGTATCTTGATGACAAATTAGAGGGTGAGGATTAATAACTATTCCACTGTTTCTTCCATTCATTGGTCGCCTATTATGAATGGATGATAACATTAACAGGAAATCAGGAAGGACCCACACCAATTTAAACCAGTTAACTCTTGCTTTGAAGATCTAATACGATCCCACACGCTATTAAAACACAACAATCCATTACTCATAAGCTTCCAATAGACTCAATCTCCGATGCTGAATTGTAAAATTTCTCTAGGACGCTGTGCATAATCAAAGGGCTCCGTAGCTTTAAGAATCTCATGATAACTCAGTGCTTAAACCTTTAAGGGCATCATCTAGATCTTCTTGAAACTCTGGTACTTCTTTCCCTTGATACCTCCACCTCTCCAGTCTACCTTGGAGATCCAAAAGCATTGGTACTCCATCCTCATCAACATTAAACTGTGTTAGCCTCTTGATACACTTGAGCAAGTACCTGCCAGCCCTTAATTTCACCAGGTATAGAAAATCCTCTCCAGTCTTTTCAGTTTCAAATAGTGAGACAGACATCCTGTCAACAACATCAGTTAAACTGAAGACTAGACAGGCTCCTAATACAGCCTCCTCTTTGTTAACAAACAAATCTTCTGGCTCTGAAGAATTATAATTTACATGTTTCAAGCCAGTATTCTCAGTTCCAAGTGAGTCGTGTATCCTACCAGTGGCAGCATAATGAAGCAGCAGCTCACATCCATCTTCGTTTATATAACCGGAGGACCCAATCAAGATGCCTAGTGGTATTCTTCTGAACAGCTTATCATGCTGCTGGAGAAGAGAATAAGACTTTGGCTCACAGAATGCCAACTCATCAATGCTTTCATTATGCTTCATGATATTCTGGAATTGTTTGAGCCAGAGGATAATGACTTGACAATCATACTTGTTTCCAAGAGTAGAATCCTCCTTGCTGTCGCAAAATCTGGGTTTCTTAAGTTTCTTCTTGTAGCCAGCCATCCCATTCTGACTATTATCTGAGCTGATTTCTTTCAGATTCCAACACTTTGATAGTTTTGTCAGGTTTTCAAACAGTGCATCCTGATTAGATTTGTTAATGGGGCTCAGAATCCAAGCAATAAAAGTTGCAGCAGAAGCAGGTAGTTGCCCAAATTCCAGTACCCCTAAGGGGCATTTAACTTGAATGTTTTGATGGGAATTTTTATCATCAGAAAAGAGTAAAACTGAAGCAAAATAGAACCAGTCTGGAAAGCTTATTGCCAGGGCCCTGCTATGAAACATTTCAAATAAGTTCTAGAAAGTGGATTGAAATGCAGTAATTGCCTTTGCTATTTTCTTTGACATGAAGTAAGAATATACCAGATAGATTTATGATCTATTGATGCAACCCTCACTGCCGATGGCTTGATAGTTGGATCACATAGTTCTCTATGCAGAGAAGCTGATTTTCTTGTCATGTGAACTAATTGTAGGAAACTTCCATACGAGAAGGGTCCAGTCAAAGTCCTCAAGAAATCACTTTGATATGGAAAATATGCATTAGAAAATGGAAGCTTCAATCCCAGCTCTAATGATAGACCCCACCATGTTGGTCTAGAAATTACATCTAGTATCAGTGAAACTAATTCCATCAGAAGCTCTACAACAGAACTAAGACCCCTGTTGCATAAAAACAAAAAAAAATGATGTGATATAACTGTTGCTCTGATAAGACAAGTTTTTAGCAGTAAATATTATCAGAAGCTCCAAGCAGATAACACAAGTGAATTTCCAGCAAAAAATTCAATTGAAGTTTATTAGAAAATGATTCTTTAAGAAATAGTAAGAAATGCTAAAAAAACAAAAAGCTGGAGCATCCATAAAATCAAGAAACAGAACTCACGTCTGCAGAAACCAGTCATGTAATAGAGCTCTGGTATCAATGAACATAACTGGAGAAAGTACCCAGCATACAAGAATCGAGCGCCAATCCATCCTCTCATAAAATTCCATTCTCAAACAAAGGAATGGTCTTTGTATGGTTCCTTGCAAGATTTTTGAAATATCATGCTTTAGAGCTAATGGATCAAGGTACCAAATTAACAACCTGCACACATAAGTATAAGTGGAACAGTGAAAACATAGGGTGAATATACCAAAAAAATAAAAATTGTGAAGCCCCCGAGTCAATTTCTTAAAATTTTCTATTTGATTATTGTCATATTCTTATTGAAGAGATTGACTAATAAACCTTGAGATAAGTTTAATATGCACTGATATTAATTGCCATGTCTCTAAGACAAAATGAAAGAAGACAATTTCTACACTGAGTAGTGAGAGACGTAGTTGCAGCAAACCTCGTTGGTATTTCATGGTTGCTAAGGGAGAAATTCATGGGCAAGTGAGACAGCAGCTTTGAGATAGCAGTGATACTTCCATCAAAGGATTTAACATCAAGAACACGCATTGATGGGGATAGATATCTATAGCAAGAAGCTGAAGCCGCAACTCTAACCACAGCAGATAACAGCAAATCAATAGGCATCCCTACAACAATTTTTTTTTTATTATTATTATTAAGAAAGAGGTTCAGACATTCATATATGGATTCTGGTCAAGAAAATATCCAATACAATTAATCCTCGAAGCTCATTGGAAATCAACTAAAACAATGAAATAGAAACAAACCACAATCAATGGTCGTTGAACAGTACCATCACAATTCAATAAACATCAAAACGCAATGGAGATTAAAGAAACAAGGGAGAAGAAAACCCACCAAGCTCCTTCAATTTTGAAATAACATCAAAAACACATTCAATTAGTTCCATGCAATGGCTGCGGGAAATGAAGCTACCGATCTGCAGAACCTCTTCATCACGAAACCGGGACACCTCACAACATATTGATGAAGACAAGACACTAACAATTGTCTTCACAGAATACTCAACCACTGAGTCAAGAACCTAAAAGTAAAACCCATTACTCAAATTAAGCAATGTCGACAGCCATAAGACCTAAGTCTAGAGAGAGGAACTATTCAATATACCAGGAATTATACTCTCATCCCTCAGTGGAGCCCATGGATATTTTTTTATGTTGGGTCCATGTTTTGTGAGAAAGAGGAGTACAACTTCTGGCATTACCTAACAATTTCTTTTTTAGTAGAGAAGAGAAATGAGACCTGTGGCGCTTTAAAGCACATGAGAGATAAAGCAGTGTCCAAAACCCTAACCCCAGGATTGTGAGTGAGAGACATTGCTAGCTTTGAGATTGAGGGATCAATTGAAGAATCATTGAACTCTTGTTGTTGTTGTTCTTGAATGATTGGCGAATTGTGAGTTAGGGTTTGGAGATCGAATGCTAGTTTAGAGAAGAGTTCCATTATTTCTGGTGAAGTAGGAGAGGTCGCCCTCATGATATTTTTTTTGCTTTTTCCAATAATGTTTAGGGTACTGACTGTCTTTTTAATCAACGGCTGACTTTCCCGCCCAATTATTGGGCCTCACCACCCCCTCGTAAGAGTGCTGCAACTGATTTTTCAGTGCTACTCACGTGAAACAAGACTGGTTCTATAATAAAAAAACAAATATAAAAATAGTTATAAAAGGGAGTATATTTTTTAAAATATTAAAATTAAAATTAAAATTATTTTTTATTTTATATTACCATATATATTTTCATTTTTTTCTTGAAACATTAATCAAATTAGTTATTATAAAAAACATTAGATGAGATGCTCGCACTCTCTTACGAGTTTATAAAATAAATATATTTAATAATGTTATAATTATGAATCGATACTAAATAAGTAATAGAAAATGAAGGTATGATAAAGCCAATATTTAATGACAAAAAAAATTATGTTGGTGATAAAAAAATTTAGAAATTAAATAAAATGATTTATATTAATCCATAGTATTTTGTGAAGAAAGATATAGTGCTTTCCCTCGTAGAATTTAGCTTTTCTGTTAATAAAAAAAATTACAAAGCTAAACTCTCTACCAACTTAATATTTTAAAAAATCGACAAATAATTTTATTAAAAAAAACATATAAGGGGAAATAAAGTAGTAATCCATAGTGTTTTGTGAGGAAAGTTGCAATGTTTTTTCCTAATAAAATCACCAAAGATAATTTTGAAAGAAAATCATAAAAAAATCTTGTAGATAAACCTATAGCAATGCAAAATATTTTATGAGGAAAATTATAGTGCTTTTCCTATATGATTTAGTTTTATTGTAATTATAATTCTCAACCACCTCAGTATTAAAAAAATAAAATTGACAAAGATAATTTAAAAAAATCATAAAAAACAAAAAACAAATCATATAGGAAAACCATATAACAATTCACAGTGTTTGAAAGAAAAACATTACAAAACTAAATTCTAGCTAGCTCAATATTAAAAAAATATAATCGACAAAGATAATTTTTTAAAAAAAATCATAACAAAATAAACAAAAAATAGAAAAAAAATCTTGTGGAGAAACATTGTAGTAATCCACAATGTTTTGTAAGGACAAATACAGTACTTTCCCTACATGATTTAGTCTTACTTGTATTACTTATAATTGTAATTCTCAACAAGTTCAATATTAAAAAAAAAATCAAATGATAATTTTAGAAAAAAAACAATATGGAAAAAATATTGTAACAATCCACAGTAATTTATGAAGAAAGTTACAGTATTTTTCCCACATATTATAATTATAATTATAATTCTCAATCAGCTCAATATTAAAAAAAAAAATTGACAAAAATAATTTTGAAAAACTCATAAAACAAATATAAGAAAATACTGTAGCAAGCTACAATGTGTTAAACAAAAAAATTATAAAGTTAAATTCTCCACCAGCTCAATATTAAAAAAATAAAATCAACAAATATAATTTTAAAAAAATCATTAAAAAAAAACCATGTGAGGAAACATTGTAACAATCCACAATATTTTTTTAGAAAAACCAATATTAAAAAAATAAAATCAACAAATAATTTAAAAAAATCATAACAAAAAAAAATTACATGGAGAAACATTGTAGCAATTCATAGTATTTTATAGAAAAAAATTATAAAGTTAAATTCTTAATAAGTTCAATAGCAAAAAAATAAAATTGACAAAAATAATTTTAGAAGAAAAAAAACACTTTAACATTGCACAATAATATATGAAAAAAACTATAATGTTTTCCCCGTATGTTTTAGCTATATTGTAATTATCAAAACTAAACAGCAAATTATTGAATTAAATGAATGGAATCATTAATTAAACTAATTGTTCAACAATTTAATTGATACTTCAATGTTTTCGCTTTCATACCTAAATTCTTGTAAAAACTTTGAAAAATGACCTAAATTAAATACCCACATTTAATCAAGTCTTTAAATATTTAAATATTAAGTTTTCTAAACATCTAATTTCTTAAATTCAAGTACAAAGTACACACAAATAAATAAAATAACATAAGATTTAATAGAAAATTATGAGTTCAAATAAAAATCTTAATATTCTAATTCATTACATAGGAATTAAATAATACGATATTGCAACATTTACAATAAATTTATCAAGTTACATCCCATTGAATCCCATTGAATGTTTGTAGTTCAAGGAACTGAACTTGAAGCTAATATTTTCATAATCAAAAATCGCTTTTAATTCCTTCCTCTCTTTACCTCCAACTTCTTTTGTATTGTTATTTTCTTCAACATTATCAATATTCAAATCTAGAAAATCTGAATCTTTATAACTAAAAAAAAAATATTTTTATTGAAAATTAGCACTTTTTTCTCCATATTTAAAAAACATACATTTTGTATCCTACTATTTATATTATAGGTAATAGTTAAGATAGCAAACACTAAATATATCATATCTAAGGTAAATTGCATTATTATTTATTTTTAATAATAAATATATTTAATATACTTATATGATTATGTTTGCTTAATAGAAGAAACTATTGTTATAACCCAATTTTTTTACCCTTAATTTCAAAATATGTTTCAAAAATAAAATAAAAAAGCAAAAATTCAAGAAAAATATGTTTTCAACGTATTTATGTCATTTGTACAACCATAAATAACTAGATAGAAATTAATAAAATTAGTGTATTATAAATAAATGATTGAATTGTAGAGAAAAGAGAGGGTCACCATAAAAAATAAAAATAAAAAAACTTTATCTCTACCATGTAAAATCCCTAGCCTCATCTTTTCTACCAAAAACTCTAGCCACCAAGAGAGAAAAAGCTAAAATTTGAAGGAAAAACACTAACCACAAAAAAAATAGGAAGAAAAAACAATCAGTGCCCGCTCTTCACCAAGGTGACAATCCATCTTCATTTTTATCATTTTTAGCACCACTTCCTCTATTTTTCAAACCCCTCTACTTCATTGTTCAACAAGAAATCAACCTTAAAAAATCACCATACATCCTAGAAAACTCTACCAGCAATCTTTTTTAAAACTCTATTCAAACTAGAATATTGCTTGGTTTTTGCTTCATAACTAGAGCTATACGCTTTAGATTCTAGTATTGTTTGGTTTGATAGAGAGATATGATATAGTCCTAAAAATTTTATGAAGATTCTAAAACTTGGTTCTATTATTTTGAAACTCAAAACATAGTCAAAATAAAAAGGTTAAAATCTATTAAAAAGCTCATTAAAGCTCAAACCATGTTCCAATTTTCAGCCTTTATATGGAGTTATAAAAGTGATAAAAAAAAATAAACCTATATGATTTGAAGAGCTTAGAAGAATATCTAAAACATTTATGAAGTGTCTAACTCTGAATTATATGGTTGTGACACTCTAAATCCAACTGGAAGATATAAATAAAAATAGTAGTAGTACTTTATAGTAACAACAACAATAGTATTTTTTTCATTCTTCCAGCCTTTTTTAGTCCTCCACCACACCTAGAAGATCTATTTTGAAACCTAAACATATTTTGCATAATTATATTGCTTTGTTAATGATTATGATATGTTTTGTAATAAGATTTTCAGGATTGAATATTTTTTATTGAATTGATATTTGTATTTGAATGACGTTGGCTAAGTCCTTTAATCTTGTATTTTATTTTACTGTTGATTTTGATGTGTTTGTGATGATATTTTAGGATTGAGAAATGCTTTTTAGATCGATATTTGTGTTAAATGCATTTAGTTGAATCCTTTAACTTTGCATCTTGTTTCCTCTCATGTTTTTTGTCATTTCATTATCATTAACAAGGCAACATCTCTTGCTTTATATATGAACATTGATATATTTAACAATATGTATTGACATGATTTTTTTGTTCTAAATGAAGAAAAAAAAATCAATGTTCATTCATATATTCATTTGTTTTAGGTTTTATAACTTGTTTATAAAATTCATTAAGGGTTTTTTAAAAAAACCTATCCTTTTTTTCTCACAAATCAAGCCTTGTTATTCACTTTTAGTATTTATGGTAAAATGAACTCAACATGGGCAATTATCTTGGATATCAAGAGGAGTAACTCATTTTTTTAGTTTTTAAATAAAAAATAACTATTAAAAATGTCTAGGTTCAATGTTCACCAAACAATTAGAAGTATTAACCTTTTTTAATAACACTAGATCTGAAGCAAAAGCAATATGATTAAAGAACAAGATAAAAAAATCCAAGACAAGAATAAAATTTCAAAACAAAATGAAGAACATATCTTGCTTAATATAAGAGAAAGATCCTAATAGTTTAGAAAGTAAATCTACTAGAATGAACCATGTTTTGGAGTTGTGGCTTTATCATTTATACTCTTTGATATCTTTATTATATAGCACTTTACAAGACTAAATTTTAGCAATTAGATGGTTGAATGGTTGATTTATAAGGCATTAATCTACAAAAATAATGGTTGCTTTGTATTAATTAGAAAGTTAATTTATAGGGTATCAATCTAACTACATAAGGGCTAATTTACATCAACTAAGAGACTGATTTTCAAGACTGATTTATGGGAATGATTATTAGAAGGTATTGCTTGATCTCCTTTTATGATCGGCTTGTTTTAACTCGCCGGTGCACGAGTATGCGATGTAGCAATTAACTCGATAAAATCGAGGTCATATCCACATAGAGCTAGATCTGGAAATTAAGCTAGGTAACAAAAAACTCATGAGAAATTAAATTTAAATTAACAATAACTTGGTTGAAAATAATTGATGGATTTGTTTTCAAAGATGAAAAAATGTAAATAGATTTTAAATGACAAGAAAAGTAAGTCTTGGTCCAAATCAATTTTAATGGTGATGTATTGGTGATTTCTTCAACATATATAAGATAACTCAACCTAATATTAACGATAGTGATATTAGATTAGATGATATTACAATGAAGTTTAAAAAGATGAAGATTGATTATTACTTAAGAATGAACAAGTATTTTCATATTAAGTAAAACATTGAATTAAACAATTTTTGTTCCAAAACTAAAGTCTGTGCATAAAAATTCAAGATTATAACATTACCTAAATGATTTCTAAATTTTCTTTGCAATAATAAAATATTTATGAAAAAAATAAGAAGATAAACATTGAGATTCATTCATATTTTAAAAAACTCACCTCAACCACCATTATTTTTTATTTGGATCCAAGAAAGAGATTAGTCAACCATGATTATATATAAGAATACTTTACTAAATATAAAATAACTTGAATCAAACTAAAATAATAAGTTTTACAAACTAAAAAACAAAAATCTATAAAGAAAAACACAACACAATTTCAATAAAAATTTGAACACAAATATAATGCTAACTTTAAATAGCAATTGCGACCCTCCTAGAAGCCTCTCTTGAAGATGGCTATTAGAGATATATTCATAGGAAATTCTTTCAGCTTTTTAGATAATTAAAGCAAAACTCATTTGGACACCCGAGTCAAAAGTTGTGGGCAAAACATCGAAAGGTATTTTGAAAAATCTAATCAGGCCAGCGTGAAAACCACTTTGGTGCATGTTTTTATTTCTTCTTTATGAGTTATCTCTCTTCCTTTTGACCCAAAATAATGTAACAATATTCCCTCTAGCTTTCCATCTATGTGCTTACCCTCTTGAATCAATAGATTACCCAAAATAAATCAATTGTTATTTGTTGTGTGGACATGTAAGATCATGAATTATCCTTGGACTAATTTGGAGGTTGATTTGGGGCTAAATTTAAGTATCATATAAGGATACAAATGTACATATTATTTGAGCTAAGATTGACATTGAAACTTTGAGTGTTTGATGGTTAAAGTTTGCACACAATATAAGGTAAGTTTAGGTTTAAAATAGATCATATGATAATCTTCTCTAGGATTGGAATAGAATTGATTTTTAGGGCAAATTTGGAGCACTTATTTGAACCAAGATTTGCTTCAAACTTCAACTAAATTTCTCTTCAATTCTTTGTTCCAAATTTCAACGTTAAATTTTCTGAAATAATCCATTTAAGCTCCAAAAACCTATTGAAACATTAAAGGAAACTTTATTACTAAAAAGCACATCAATTATTATAAAAAACTAGGATAAAAATAATAAATACATATATAAAATAAGAGACTTAATGATACTTTTGATGCATAATCAGTTATCATCCCCAACCTTTTGTCATTAACATGAAAAATTTGCAAAATTAAAAGAAAATGTTAAATTACTTGGAAAATAATGCAAGTAAAGAAACTAATAAATAAAGCATGTAAAAAAGTGATAAATAAAGTATAAAGGTAAAGTATAGAGCTAAAAATAAACTTGTATAAAGTAATTTATGAAAAATAAATTATAGAAAAAACTAAAGAAAGCTTGTCTAAAAATCATGTATCGACACAAATTCAAGAAAATACATGACAATGCTCCTTTTAATGCTATTGTAAGACCTAAATTTTCATGTCATATAATTAAAACAAAAATAACCAATTTAAAAGCCAGTCTTTCAAGTAAAAACATATTTTTATAATATCTATTATACTAGTGTTCATGATTTATTTATAACAAACAAACAACAAAACGGTATATATAAAAGATAAATTTAAATGTATTTGGCTAGCTCAAAAATACAAGTAGGATAATATAGTTTTATAGGTATCTTGGCTAAGTGACAGTTATAGCATTATGATCTAAGTTGACCTTATATGAATACATGCATACAACATAAGCATAATATAAATGAAGGTTGGAAACATGTGACCAAATTTGCTCCTTTCTATTAAGACAATTATGGAGGTTCTACAGTACTGAGAGCTAGGATTAGCAATTCTAGGTTAAGTGCTTATTAATTATATTGCACCACATGCATTTATTATAAGATTATTTTAAATTATGGGAGGTGTAATTTAATTGATCAGATTCTACGTTTGTTTTTTAAAAATTACTAGTTTGAATTTCATAAAATTTAGGGTTATTAAAGGCTTACATGATCATTAACTTCAGGATTTATGGAGTTAGTCGAGCTACATGCATGCTAACTCAGACACCCATGTTAATAAAAAAAAAAATTATAATCTACTTATGGTTATATGCCATATATTTTTGTATGTTTAGTGAGAAACATGCACCCTGTTGCCCACTCGAATAATACATATTTAGTGGAATTAGTTGGTTACTATATTTTTAACTTGTTATTTTTAGTTTTAAGAATTGTCCAATACACATGTTCAACATGCTTTATACCCTAAAAATTCTTTCTTTCTTGCATTCTCAAAGCTTTTCAGCCATATAAAAAAAACAAGATGCTATTTTTTTTATCATTTTTTTTGTTGAATTTATAATAATATTATGATTAAAAATAAATTCAATAAATTAAATTTGCTTTTATGATGTAGATCACATATTATATATTGATGATATTCTTTTATCAAATATGACCATATCTTTAAATTGATAATGACTAATTGATTTGAGAAAAATCATTAAGTATATATCCTTCAAAGTTATAGTAATTTAAGATTTAAAATGGATAGTCTCGAGGATGATGGTTTGTCTTAGTTTTTAAGTGTGTGTTTATTTTAAAGGGATAGGTTGAGGTTTGGGTGTGGGATCATCAAAAAAAGCTAAAAAATTAAAATTTATGGTTGATTTTTATGCATATTTAAATTATATCCCACTACAATTTGAACCATAAAAATTAAGAAAAACATCCTTTTAATATCCGACAAATATTAAAACAACATCATAATAAACTTTCTTAATTAGCAAGGAAATAGTCATTTTATCTTTACCATTCCTTTCTTTTTCTTTTTTGTCATTCAAGTTATGTTTTCTTCCTTCTCCTCTTTCAAAATGGGGTACATTATTGGCATGATTTAAAGGTCAACGATGGTGGCCACTGGTGTTCGATATATATATATCAATATCATCCATGGAAGATAGAGAGTTGATCGCTAACTTTTTATTTTCTCCTTTGGTGAAAAAATTGCTTTGGATTTTAGTTTTGCTAGCTATCATATCCAATGCTGCCATATCTTGACTCCTGAGACTCCTTCGAGTATGACCCTACTTGTCTAAAGTACAGTATAATCTGGTGTTCAATTACGACGGTGAGATTATTAATATGCTAGCATTTTCCTCTTATAAAAAGTTTTATAGATTAGATCATTAGCAGGTCAAGCAAATTAAAGGGGGATTTCCAATTTGAACGACAAATGTTTATATATATATATATATATATATATATTGGTTTTAAAGGGAAAAAAATCATTTGATTCTTTTAAAAAAAATATGTGTAGATGAATTTGTCCGTAATTAATTTGATAATATTCAATAAATCCTTTTGAAAAAGATAAATTCACTCCAAGTGCATGATTTGTTAGTTTTTTTTAGAGGGATAAAAACATCATCATATTATTCCCCAATGAACAATGTAATATGTCGTGGGATACATTTATTTTATGTTTTTTTTTTTTAATTAATGAGAAGGTGAGAAGCTCAAAGGGATATAAAGAAAGTCAATGTGTTATGTGCTAGCGCAGTGAAGTTACTGCAACGAAGAAAAAGGCAAAAATGGAAAATCCAGCAGATAAGCTGCAATCATTTTCTATGACTTTAACCTACTAGAAAGGTTGAGGCCATGTGCAAAGGCAGCGATAAAGCAAGAACATCACTTCCCATGGGAGAAGATTTTCCCATCTGCTTTTTTCCTTTTTCCCACTTTGTTAATCCACCTTTGTGTTTTGCTTTAACGTTTCACTGTGTGAATGTAATGTTGAATATTCAATTGTTCATCATCCCTTTCCCTCCCTCCTGAAGCACCCTTTCCTTCAGATAGTACTTCCATGAAAAACAAACCACCTTTTTCTTTCTTTTTTTTATTATTATTGATTAGATGGAAGGCTTAAAACCTTGGAAAGAAAAAGACTAATCAAACTGTCTTTGACTCGAAAGAAACTGAATATATTGTATGATTAAACAGAAAGAAATTAAATTATTGATTAGATAAGTCCCCAAAACATTAATTGCATTGATGATTTGATTTGGATTTCGGTAATTCTGGTAACAACATGAATATTACGGGAAAAAGCCATTAGCAATGGCCTGATTAGTTTTGAAATTAGTGGTTTCATACACTGGGAGCTCCTCTCTGTACCTTCCAATCCCAATAAGATGATCAAGCTCAAAAAGATCGGAGCTTGTACAACTCTCGTCGTCACTGTCACTGTCATCTGCAACATAATTGTGGAAACCCCTGAAATCAAATTCACTAACATTCTTCCTTTGGTGATAACTTCTTAAATAATCTGCTGCTGCTCCTTTAGCAACCTCTACTTCCTTGACAGAACTACTTTTGACAACTTCTCGAGGCAGTGGCATCAATCCTGGATCATCTTCATAAATACTTTTATGCCCACAAGGTCTTGAATCCTCATCAACAATGACACTAACAGGATAGAATCGAACTGACCTTTTTGTGCCATTACTTGGTTTCCCTCTCGGAGGAGGTGTTTTGCTCAAACAGGACCTTGAAAAGGAAGTGGCCGATGAGCATGCAGACTTTGATTTACGCTCAAAACTTACATCATCCATGGCCCCAATAGAGCACATTTTCACTTTTTTTGCAGCACTTGCTGAATTGAAAATAGAATTTAGAAAGCTTGCAATGCGGCCACCTGGTGAAATCGGCTGCTTTACTTTCTTTAATTCACCATAGATTTTTAATGCTCTTAGCTTTGTCTTATGAAACCCTCCTCCTTCACATTTCGGTTTCTGATGTGGTTTATCAGAAAGTGGTTTTGTTCTTTGTTGGCAAGAACTTGAATTTCCTCTGACACTTGACTCGTTTTCGGAGGACGAGAACACACCTCCTCCGCTTCCTCCTCCTCCTGCAGAGCTAGAATCTGAAGAGCTTGAAGTGGAATTATATTGCATGGAGCCACGGGTGCTTTTCTTCTCCATCCAGCTTTCAGTCCTGACGGCTCGTCTAAGAGTATTAGATACCTCTTTCTCCTCTTCAAGAAACGACGTATCACACCTGGTTGTAGAAACAGAGTTGCAACTCTGTTTCTTGATCCCTAGCACATGTTGTTCTTCACCGTTGGATTCGTCAATCGAACGGTAAATAGAGTCAAGAAGAGTTGAAGAGAAAGACGGGGTTCTTCTTCTTGGATGGAATGTGCTTTCCCTTGAACATCTCTCCTTCTTGTACATGTTTTACGTGCACAAAATTTTGAAGGAAAACAGAGGTATTTGCAAGTGTAGAGGGAGGGGCAGAGGAGGAAGAGGGTGAAAGGTGGAGATCCAAAGGACAGGGATGGATAGTAGTTTAAGGGAGTTCAAGGGATCTTTAGTGTCTGCTAAAAGAATGCCAAAAGCTGCAACACGCATAAATAGAAAAAGGAACGCAGAGGTACATGTCATGTGAGAAGTAGAAAGAAAGGAAAAGAAAGCGACTTAAATAAAATAGTAGTGGTCGTACTAGGCTTTAACTTGGACTGATCTGTGGTGGTTGTCTGTGTGAACGTGGTATGTTTGTGTACAGCTAGTTCTGAATAATAATAATAATACGAGGAGGAGGAGGAGGAGGAGGAAAGGAAGCTCTGCTGTCTGCAATGCACAACGTCAACAATGGAAAAGCAGACTCTCTCTCTCTCTCCCCCTCTCCCTCTGTGGCTGTGGAAAGATTTTAAAAGGAAATGCCGCGCGTGCGGGTGTATTATAGTGGCTAGAAGAAGTTAGATTGGAGGGGATGGACAGGTTGGCAGGGTGATTGCCTTGCTTTACTGGGATGTCCTTGAAAGTTGAAAGGAAGAAAGAAGTGTAGCCTTTTCAGTTCTTTACTGGAGGGTGATGTAATGATCAATAAGAGAAGGATTTTCTCAATTTGGTGACTTTTGATTCTGTGTTTTGAGGGATAAATGAATCTGAATCATTGCATGAGGGACGTGAATTACTAGGGTTTGTTATTCTAAAATCTTGGATTAAATGGGGGCAAAGACTGATCAAGAGCTCGTAAACAAGCCCACGCTACTACTTGATTTACCTTTCTTCTTTTTTTGTTTCGAAATAATAAAAAAGATTGGAACCCTAGGAAAGATCTTGAGTGTTGGCACTCATTCTTTCATTCATTAATTGATTTGTTTCACTCTAGTTCATAACAATAGTTCATTACTCGTACTTTTACATAATTTTTAAAATAGAAAATCATGGTAAAAATCACACTTAAATATCAAAAAACAAAAATTCAAATCTAAGTAAATAATTTAAGTACTCTTATATATATATATTATAACTTATCATTATTATTATAATTATCATTATTATCATCATCTTAGCCTATAATATGTTTCGATCTATTTATTTATATCATTTTATCTCTTTTTTCAATTTTCTTTAATTTCTTCTCTTTTTTTATTTGTTTTCTCATAAATGAAATTATATAAAAAAAATAAGGTATTTTTATCCGAATCTAAATCAGTTGTATGACTTCAAAGTTAATGGCCTCAAAGTTAATTCTCGAAATGGATTTTTAGGAATTTAGGGATTGAAGATGGGGTTCTTTTAAAATGAAAAGTTGCTTTCATATCTAAACTTGATGTTTGTGTTATTCTTGGTGTTACTTTTGTTTTTACCGATCAAAATTAAAATTGTTCTTTTTTTATTTATGAATACATGGAGAATGGTAAAGACTTTTTCTTAATACCCCTTTACATTGGAGCTTTCTTCTTTTAATTAATGAATATATGAAAAATAGAAGGTTGGGATTTTATTCAATCTAGGTTTTTAGTCTTTAGATTTTTGTTGGAGGCTAGGTTCAATTTATTAAGTTAAAAACATTAAAGAGAAGAAAGAAATTGGGGTTAGATTCATTTTCAACCAAATCAAGTTTTAGATTTTGTTTATCAAGATAAATGAAGAAATTGATTTTAAAGGAACTTGAACATTTTAACTATAATGAAATGGATAATAAATGGGCCTTAGAAATTACAAAAGTTTGGTGCTTTGATGGGTTTGGATTAATGAGTTTTAAAGAGGAGAAATATCAATTTATGTTCATAATGAATTCAAATCACCTGAATAGGACAATACTAAAGGTTTTTTAGAAATGAAGAATTTAAGGCACTTGAATCTTGAGAACAATGAGTTTCATAATATTTTGTCTTTTACTCATACTTTTATGAAGAGAATGGTTGTGTTTAAGATTGGTAAAAATAGCAATTCGTGTTCTAATTATACAATTTTCTTATCAAAATTAAAATTTAAAATCACTTCTTATGATAAACATTGATTGCCATTATCAGCATCATTTGCAAAAAATGAACAATACATTAGGAGATTATGGTATGAGTGATTAATTATATTATGATGAAGAAAGTGATTCACCATATTTTTTTGCAATTGTATAAGAGAAAAGGGTGGCTAGGGTAGAGGAGAAAGAGGTTTTGATTTGTTTTTAACTTAATGATAATTTTATAATTTTAACATTGTATGGACTCTTTAGTCATTAATTAAAATATAATTTTAATCCTATAAATACATAAATAATTTTCTTTTTACTTTTTTAGGCGCTCTAGGTTAAGGATGTAAACTATTACATAAAAACCAAAGTTTAATACAACTTATAATTTTTTAAAACTCAAAAGGCAAGTACAATTTCAACTAAACTATAAGATGTTAGGTGTACCTTTTCCTTTTTAAAATTTGATTGAAGTTAGTTTTTAAATTCTTGATAAAACTACCCATGACATCCTTTAGTTTTCACTTGTTTATCGAATTTTAAAAAATTATATTTTGTGTCTTAAGTCAACACAAGTTTTCAAAATCAATGAAAAAATCAAACTACCCTTGTATATATTATATCAAAGATTCTCATTCTCCCTCTCTCACACCAAACTCTAGCCATCAATTACTATCACAACTAGAAAAGCCATTGTCATCACATTCCTTCTCGTAACCACCTTCACCCAAATCAATTCATCTAAAATCCATACCTCCCCCCCCCCCCCCTCCTACTCCACATCCATTCAAATCATAGCTGCCACCGCTTTCAACCTCTCACCTTAATTCTTCATCAAACATGGAAGCTCGATGATGGAAAAAGCTATGGTGTCAATATTATAACAAGAAAAAAGTATATATAGTGTCAGTCATGACCATCAAGCTACTTCATCATCTAAAAAAAAAAAAAAAATTAATAAGTCTATCTTAGTCCTTAACATGTTATTTCTTATATAAAATTATAATAGAGCTCTCCACACAATAGTTATAATGAGTAGAAGAGGATAGGAAAAAGGATCATATATGAGTTATTTCTATCCTTAAATAAGAAGAATGATGCAATTTGAGGTTAGTTAAGTGATCTAGGAGGTTTTGAAATGGTCCAACTCCAGACTCAAAACCTTGTACAAAATAACTTAAGATGTCATTCTTCAACTCCTTCAACTTTAAATCTTTCAATGACTTCTCATTTTTCCCAAACCCAAATGGATTAAACAAAAGCCTTTTGGGTTGCTTAGCTCTTAAGAACCTCCCAAACATTTCTCAAATCCTAGAAAATATTGCTTTTCCATATAACTTAGTTTTCACAAATCTTAAAATCCTTTATACTTTGGGTATTTTATGAGTGTTATCTAAAAAACAAACAATGTGTATGGGATTAGAAAAGGGAGGAGAGAATATTGAAGCTAGTGGTTTTTTTTTTTCAATTTAATTGTAAGGTTGTAATAGTTAATATAAAAAGTTTTTTTTATGTTAAATTAAAAATAATGATATTTATGTAAATTATCATATTGTTTCTCACCTTTTTTTAAGGAGAATGTTATGTGCTAGCACGTATATAAATTTCTAGGTGCAAATTATAATTTTTCAAAACTTTATAAGCAAGTACACTACTATGAGATGTTAGGGGTAATTTTACCAAAGGTTTTTAATAAAATAAAATTATAATTATGCATAGTTAAAAATAATTTTGTATTTACATTAATAATTTATAACAAGTTGTGTAAAAATTCTATTTTTATCAAAAACTTTCTTTTTTACTTGTAATTCATAAATTATAACTTATACTATTACTTACTTACATACATACATACATACATATATATATATATATACATATATATATATATATATATATATTGCTTTAAATCATTTTTTTATCATCAGATTAACTCATTTTTATCACAAGTTATTTATGAATAATAATTTTTGAATGATGATTCAAAATGGAAAGTTATTTTTCGTAAATCATGTCAAAATTATCTAAAAGTCCACCCAATATACTTATTTGAAGTTTTTATTTATTTATTTATTTATTCTTGTGAAAAAAGGTTTGAATCCAAGATTTGAAAAATTAGAGATAATAATATCAAATTTAAAGTTGTTAATTATTTATTTTTATGAAAACCATGTTTGAATGCAAGATTTTGTTTAAAAAAATGATAGAGATAATAATATCAAATAAGTTATAACTCATTTCCTTCTTATCAAAATTTAAAAATATATTTAAAAAATTAATTAATTATGTATGTAAATAGAGTGAAAAGGCTTTGAAAACTTTATAAATAGTTATATTCAGATATACTTATATATCCCTTAAAAGACCTTAAAAGATAGGAAAAATTACCCCTAACATAGTTTGGTAAAAAATATATTTGTTTATCGAGTTTTGAAAAATTACATTGTACATCTTAAATCAATAAAAAAATTTAAATTTGATGAAATGATTAAATTACTTTCATATATATTAATTACAAATTCACCTAAACAATACATATGATATTCTCTCTTTTTAGGTTATGATTTTTCTCGCTTCCACATATCATTTTCTCATTTTTTCTAAACACAAATCACAAAATCAAATATAAAATATAAAATCAAGAGAACCAAATAAAATAATAGCATCCGCCATCATAATCAAATATAAAATCAATAGAACCAAATGAGATAATGGCATCCACCATCATTTGACTCTTAGTTGGTTGATTTTTTTATTAAAAAATGAGGATAACAAGGGTTTTTATCTTTTCATATGGTTATGCATGTCAATTATTAATAAATCTGGATCAAGGGAGAATATCAACAGGTTATTTTTTTTTATCATATGGATATGTTTCTGGGTTATTGACAAATTTGACATGTTTAGATTATTGAATCTAGCAAGCCTAAATGTTTTTTTTTTAATATTTGTTTCTTTATTGGTTATCTACAACTTTTTAATTTCAAGAGAAAGAAAGGAAAAGGCTAAGTCAACATATTGGAGCTATTTAGGTGTCTGCAACTATGAATTTGATTATATTATTTTTAGGGTCTATTTGGAATTGTGATAGCGGTAACGGTAATGGTTTAAAGTATTTTTTTTGTTTAGAAATGCATCAAAATAATCTTTTTATTTTTAAAAAATTATTTTTAATATCAAGACATCAAAACAATCTAAAAACATAAAAAAAAATTATTTTAAAAAATTTAAAATTTTTGGACCTAAAGACTCCTCTAATGTTTGTTTCTTAACTAGTTATCTGTAACTTTTTAATTTCAAGAAAAAAAGAGAAAGAGACTAAGTCAACATGGTGAAGCCATTGGGTTGTCTGCAACTATGAATTTGTTTATTTTTTTTTAATGTTTGTTTCTATTTGGTTGTATACAACTTTTCAATTGCTCCACTTTATTTCTAAGTCTAAACACAATAAACAATAGGTACCCACCAAATATAATTATAATTATGTATTTTTTTATATGATTTTTTTAATGTTTGTTTCTTGACAGGTTTTTGTTATATATCATACCATTATCTAGAT